GGACCACTACTCGAAACCTAAGATAAGGGTGAAATCAGTCCCTCGACAGGGTAAAATCTACTTGTCATCAGAGTAAAATTTGCCCGTCCACATGGTAAAATCGAATCGTGGTAAGGGGAGAATTTCCAGAGTTTTTTGCGTGATATTACGACTTCCCACCGACCATCATTCCAGCAACTTTAGTTCAATAAAACATGTTCATATTCGTCCCTTTCCTTGGGAATGTTCTGCTGAATATTCATCAGGAATCAAATATTAATCGCTATACTCTATCGATGCAGTGATTATGTTATATTGAGAACAACCTGCGAGGTTTTTCCGTCATTCGATCAATATGCTATTGATAATACCTAATTACGGATTGTTTCCAAAAGGAGGTAAGAAGCATCGCTAAAGGGCAACAATAGTTATATCATTTGTTTTCAACACGCGTCGAGTTGAAGAGCGAAGTATTGAAGTATCGCAATGTAAGCTAAAGTCAAGGTCATTCATAAATAATTCATAATAATCCTAACGCGGTCATCAATATCAAATCACAAAACACAAATACAAGTGGCAGAAATGTACTTCTATGAAAAGGCAATGATGTTATTTTGAATCTGATGAGAGAACTTCTTATTGAATAGATCGAAATTGAATCTTAAATTGAAAAGAAAAATATAAAGAATAATGACTAAGACATTAAATGCCAGGTCCTCGTTTAAGGGAATTTAATCAAGAAATATAATTGGTGAACATCAAAAAGCAAGAAGAAACACATCATTGTACATTTTAAATAAGTGATAAATGAATTTGGAATTAATTTCTATTATATGAAGGGAGAAAATTCATCATCTTCCTCATTTCTCTCTTCCGCTATATCTCTGAGCACGTGCGCGTACCACTCTCGCTGAATTTCGTCAACCACTCCGGTATTCCACTTCTCGCCACCCATTCCACTTTCCGGTAAATAGCTTTCGATATTTCCTCTGCAGAATGGACAATATCTCGTAATCAGCTTTTTATGCATGCAACACAGAGACGGTGATTGCAGGGTTTCAGTCGTTGAAGGGTCTTTTTCTCGTCACATACACCGCATTCTGTTTAAAAAATAGGGGTGAGGTTAGTTCATCACATATGTCATATTAAAAAAAAATTATCAAAGTTGCCTGGAATTGATTTGGAGTTACTGGAGAATACTAGGATTACTGTAAGTCGCCACTATATCGATCTATACAAGAATATTATGCACGACCCTGTTTCTAGATGTTCGTACTTCTACTGATAAATAGTGTTGATGCAAGTGGAAAGATCAGGATTAGAAATGGAGACGTGTCTAGAAGGAAAATCGACTAGGAGAAGACTTGGCGTCTTTATCTAAAACTATCTTAGGCNTTGGCGTCTTTATCTAAAACCATCTTAGGTTTTGACAGTTTTGGCGTATTATCATGAAACACCTGATTTGCCGTCGAGAAGTATCCCATGAGAAAGTTTGCATATTCCATTTACCAGGGACCACTGCTGATACATTGAAAACCTTACATAATAAGAGCATCAAAATGAGCTGAATGAGTCGCACCAACTTTTCAGAACAGAGGGCGGTGCAGCCGCCCGAGGACTAGCGTAGTCGTCCGATGCACATAGCCGCCTGAGTTTTCCATGAGTAGCATATATTATTTTCTATCACGAATTTCCCCTAGCACTTCTGATCCGTCATGCCTCACTAAAGCCGCCCGATCATACGCAGAAGTGACATAAAAATATATTAAATGCAGCCGACGTACTGTTGCCCAAGTGAATAGATGCAAGTCTGCTTCGCGGACGATCTGAGTTCGATTCCTCGCTCGGGTGAATTCTTCAGTGATATTTTTTATTGTAGGATTCACATGCGGAGTTTTGTCTTTTGCCCAATCGGCACCAGCATAGGTTTTCTGTG